TGAATTTTTAGCTTTTCATTTTGCTGTTGTCACAAGCCATGCATTATTTAAGTAGCTTCTCTTTGTTTTAGCAGCTTGAAATGAGCCAGAAATTCACCTTTCTCGCAGGCTACCAGCAGACACGTTTGGTGCCCGCAGGCAGAAAGTAGGAGCTGATGCTCTTCTGTCAACATAGGTGAGCAATAGTGGTGTTGCTGTATGGGGGAGAGGCTAAATCACACAATGATTTGATGTTGCTGACATCTCTTTCAAGTTGCTCTCCCCCCGCTGCTTCGGTTGGGATTTGAATTCCTACTTCCCCTGCAGTGCTTTCTGTCTACTCCTGTTGCCTTGAGCTAGAGCCAGAAAAGAGTGCTTTGAGGCTAGTCCTGTCTTAGGTCTTTGGGTGTTCAGGATTTTGGGGCAGGGGGGGAAATACGTTATCCTGTGTCTAGGAAGGGGGTCTCCTCTGGACTGTTGCTTTGAATTCTAGCACCGTCTGAAGATGCTCATTGCAGCACAAATGCAAGATGGAGGGAGCAGATTTGAGTTCTGCTCCAATTACTGCAGTCCAGAAACGCCTGCATATACTGGGAGTTTAAATATATGCATAGTACCAATGCTTGCTATTTTTAAGTTAGGCTAAAAATATGTAGCGTGGTGTTTGCAGGGATTTTGAATGGGTTTTGGAAATCCTTGCGTGAGCATTCTGTGTGTACCCAAGACCTGCTTCACCTCTTAGTAGCTGATCTGTCAACTCATAGTAGCAGTTGGGACCAGTGTTTTTTGTAGATATTTCTGAATGTATGAGAAGCTTGTTTGGGAAGTACATGCGACTTCAACTGCCAGTCTGCTATCTAGTCAGTTCAGAGAAGAGTTATTCCTAAGTCCCTCATGGTCTCTGATTTTTCCAGTAGCTGTTCAGTTAATGGGTTCTTCTCCTCTCAAGTTGCTGTAGAAAAAGCCTTAACAGGGAGGATTTTATCAGCTGTGCAGTGAAACAACTTGGATGCTCAGAGTCATGAATACATGGAGTAATGTGGAAAAAGGAGGGGAGATTTGGTGGAACCGCATTTTCAGTGTGGTAGTCTTCACCGTGCTGTCAGCGAGTGGCTTTGAGGTCATGACAAGAGTTGTGTGTCACCCTGATACTGTATAGTGATTCGAGTCCCGAGTCCAGTTTGTGTGCTGTAGTGCAGGTAGGAGCCTTTAAGAAAAATGGGGGGAGAAAGCTTACAAAGTGTGTATCTGCCTGCTGCCAGGTCTTTTTCTTTTAAAGTGGTTCTAGTATCCTGTCCTTGACTGTATTGCAAAGAAGCTGATGGTCATGTCAGAGCTTGGTTATACGTAGCCTCATTCTTTACCTATAAATAGCACTGAAATCACTGAGGTAGTGTGGGATAGTTCCTTTCCATCTGTCTTGCCTGCTTTATTTTGTTGTTTATGTAGGGCAGGACCCTAGGGTGGCTTTGAACTTGTTGCTTCACATTCTTGGTGGCCTAGTGCTATAAACACGAATAAACTTCTTATTCATGCCACTAGATGGAACTGGCCCATGCTTATAGATACTTGTTTAAACTTGAGCTCTGTTTTGAGTATTGACAAAATGAATTGCTAGCTCTTGGTGGAAGCTTGGCTTTTACACTCAAAGCAGTGCTTTATTAAGCTGCCTGGGTTTTTATGCAGTCTGTTTTGAAATAGAAAAGTGGTATATTACCAGTTCTTTCCAGGCGTGGCTTTTTTTTATTGTTGCCTTGACTGTGTATTACAGTTAATGCTATTTATTATATTCCTGCTTTTAAACCACCATGAGTCTTCCGGCGATGTGTGCACATCTTTCTGTTGCACAGGGGGATAGACAGTCTGTTATCTCAAATTTCATTTCAGATTATTTCCAATACCTCTTTTTTGACGCTCATGGTTGAAGCTTGCAAGTTCCTCTCTGTGGGAACCGGAGCTGCCCATGGAGAATACGGTCTTGCTGATGGTTTGGTGACTTATCCCTTATTCTTGGATATGAACAGCTGTGGCTTAACCACCATTGGACAAAGCACCGTTTGAGCTATTTGGGAGAAGATTTGTTGGTGACTGTGCTGAGCATTTGTGGTGTTGACCCACCCACACGTACACACATACCAAACTCTGCTAACACATTGCATGCCCCTGTAGGGGAGAAATATCCAAGCCTCTTAGCTTTGCGCACAGCAGACCTGAGCAGACACCTGTCTGGCCTCTGTCCGCACAGCTTGATGCTGCGAGGGCTGATTTGTGGCTTTCACGAATGTCCTCGTTCTTCCCCAGTCTGTCTTGGAGTGATCCTTCACCATTTTTGCCTGCTAAGAGGCTCCTTTGAGCATGAGCCTGTGTGAAGGTCGCTAGCCATGCAGGGGCTGATGGCTGTTGCAAGGAGAGCTTTGTAGGACCAACCTGCTGGGAAGCAGAAGTGGTTGGCATGGGTACATGAGCTGAAGAGGCCTGGCTGTGGCTCCTGGCTTTGCTGCTAGCCTGCTTGGTGGCCTTGGCCACACCAGGCCTTTCCATGCTTCCATCTCTCCATCTTTTGAACTGTATTGATCTTGTTTTCTACAGTACTGAGAGGGCTAAGGGTGGGAAAATGCTATGCAGGACTAGGTGTTTACGAGTACCAGGGAAAATACAACTGTAATAACGTGGATGTGACCTTTTAAAAAGGACAGGGTTTTCACCAAATGTGCTTACAGTGATCCAGCTACTGAGCTGCCTCTCCAGCATCTGTCTGCAATGATGAGAACAGTGGTTTCATGCCATTCTGGCAAATAAAGAAAGATTTATTTTTCCTTGCTTATAAGGTAGAAGCCGAAGGACCTAGTGGAAGCACTCCGAAAATCTTGTTTTTGAAGCGTTTTCAAAGCATCAATATGCCCATGATGCTTTTAGAGCTGCTAGCTGGAAATAGGGTGTGCTACTGAGTTTTAGGCTTCAAATACAGAGGTAGTTGCATATTTGTATTAATGCTGGTTCGAAGAGGCCTCTGTGGTTCCTGAGCTCAGTGTCCCACTCAAACCTCAACCGTCACCAGCGCTGGGACCAGGTGAGCGTGGCTGTTTTTAGCCAAGCCTTGAAAACCTTTATGGTGGAGGCTTCCTCTGGAGAAGGCTGCTTCAGGCACTGAGCCGTGCTGCTGGCACCCTTTGGGTGTGTTAAGCAAGTGTCCTGCCCTGCAAATGGAAAAACGCTACGGCCTTGCTCGTTATCCCGCTGCCCGTGCGCGAGGCGTCGGACGTGGCTGTGCAGGCTGTTCTGCAGGAGGAGGGTGCGCTCCTGCCCAAAGCCGGCTGACGCTTAGTGCTGCTGTGCAGCGTGTGCTTTCTGTGAAGCGTGGCTTGGCTTTAAGTGCGAAATTATACTTTTTAATTTTTATTATTTTATCCTGTATTAAAGAAGATGGCAATGGCTAGTTCCTTGGGGGGTACAGATATGAGTATGCAGCATGCATCTGAATGGATTTCTTCATTTTGCTGTCCTAGCTGCAAATCCTGTTCCCTGCAGAGGAGGTTAAGTAGAACTATTGAGGAGGAATTTATACTGCTCTTGTGTACTAGCAAACAGGATTTTATAGCAGACCCTCCATTTTCTTCCAACTTAGGCATCAGTAATAATAATTTAATACAGATTCCTCTGTGCTTTAATAATGAGATGGATACTTCTCCATAAAAAGACCTCCTTTCCTGTTCCAGTGATCAAATTGTGGCCGGAGTTCCTGTATGTATTCAGCTGCTCTGCGATAGCAGGAGTGGTGAGCTGTAAGCTGACAGAGCATAAAATGGAAACCTACTGTTCAGGTTGCAGTGATTCCTCTCATCTCCTAGTCCTGTTCAGGAGCCTCCAGCTGGGTCGTTGTGCTTTTCTGAGGACGGGTGGGGGTAGCAAATTTTAGTCCCAAAAACTCAGTCCTGTGAAGGATCCTGATCCCTCTTGCGCTCTCTTTTTGGTTTGAGAGCGGGTGGCGTATCCCGGAATTTGTACCAAGCCCTCACTGAGGAGGGAGCACGTCGTAAACCAGGGAAGTCTCTTATCAAATAGCAGATGATGGCAAGAAGCTGTGCTTTGTAAATGTGACTTCTTCCCGTGCCAGTTCACAGTGCAGGCACAAAACATGCACTTATGTGCTGCCCTGCTAGGGATGCAGCTTCCCCCTGATGTGCCAGCAGCATGGATGTTGTGGAAGTGAGCCTACTGCCTCTCCGGTCCCTCTGAAGTTGTGCTTCAGCTTGGCGACACGCAAGGGAGTTCAGGGTTTGATCCTGGTGTCTCCATTTCAGCAGTGTGGCTCGCTTCACGGTTCAGCTCCTCAACAGCGAGGCTGTCAGGTCTGACCCATCGTATCGCCTGTTCCCCTCAGTGCTGGCATTTCTGCAGCACTTGTGCATGGTATGACTTCGTGGCATTAAGTGAGGTAGGGGATGGTTGTAATGACATCAACTGCTATATTTGAGATGCAGGTTTACGTGGTGTTGCCCTGTGGCGGCTCAGGCAAGCGGCTTTTGCTCCTCTCACCAGTTACGTGGTGGCAGAAATGCTGCTATATGAGTTGATGCATCAGATTTTTTACTTCTTGGAAACAGGAGAATATCTACATATTGGGAGGGTTTGAGTCCTAGCTGGACAAAATTGCATTTCCCCGCCACTCCCTTGCTGAGATGGCATAGCTATAAGCATCTTTGTGTTTTCTCCAGAGAGGCTTCTTGGGCCCGATTGCACTCTTCAGTCAGCTGTCTTAACTGTCGGAACAGAAGACAACAGACACATGTTTGCTTTTAGGCACTGAGAAGGCAGTACGGAAAAATACCCTGATGCAGAGGCTGTGCTGGGAGAGCCAGGAGAAACCCCAAAATGGTCTAGTGGCTTAGTCTTGGGAAAGCACAATTAGGGTGCTGCTGAGTTGGCCTCACTCTCTCCTGTTTTTATTTTGTCTTCTAGTTCCTCATGCGAGCCTGACTGCCATGCCTGGGCATTGACACTGTCGGGTACAGCAATTTAAAATGGCAGAGAGAGGTGGAAATGAAGAAGTAATTAACTTGAACAGCTTCCGTAGTCACAGAGGAAAAGGTGAGTACTGATTTGTGCGTATTTTGAAACTCTCTTTGTAAAACTCTGCTTCCAAGCAGCAGGACTCATAGATACTAAACTTGCAGGAGTGCTGTTAATGGGAACCTGCTAGCAGTCTGTTGCCATGCCATACACTGCTCTCTTACGCTTACTTTACAGCCACCTACAGAAAATTCTTTTTATGCTGACATGCAAAATATTTGGCTCTTGTCTTTCTGATGTTGTACTGCCTTAAGGCAGATTGCTAACCTCTTGGGAACACCATGTAGAGGTATTTCAGCGGATCTGAGGAGCTTATGGTGTTCTACCCTCCTGAGGACCTCACAGGAGAGAGGCTGGCTTTGCATTCCTATCCTCATAGGGCTGTTTGCATTGGCACCCACTCTTCCAAGACCAGAATTCAAATTGATGCTTTCAGTGTATGCCTGAAAGGTGATAAGTGAATACTCATGCATACTTATGCTATAGCATAAGTCAAAACGTTGTGTCAAATTG